TTATTGTTATTATTATTGTTATTATTATTATTGTTGTAACCAGTTCACAAATCTTAGGAGAATAGTATACATTTCTCTTGATGAAGAATTAGTAGTTATTTTTCTTTTAGATAATTTACATATATTAGTCTACAGCCAAACCTCGTTGTACCGACCCCCGCTATATCGCTGGCCCCGCTTATCACCAGGTTTGGCCAGTGTACGAAAAGGATCGCCTTTATAAACATAGCATTTAGACCTTCACGTCACCATCCGCGATCTGCAAAATGTCTTAGTATTGTACCGTCCTCATTTAACTAATGTAAATGTGCCCCGCCATACCGCCAGAGAACTGACCATTAACAATGCACACAGCACACAACACCCACTGGCTGGCTCTTGATAATCTTTCTCCAAAGAGAAAGATATATAGAGAGACTTTTGGTTCTGTATACGTGTGCTGTATATCACCAACAAAAATTCACTTTTCACGTGCCTCGACGTTCGGCAGTCGGGGCTATATGTGATGCATCGTGGTGAAAACGGGCGCTCGTCAAAATAATTAAATCGAAGAAATCGGCATTTTCGGGCCAGTTTGGGATTTCTCTTTCTTTCGATTTTTGTTTTTTGGCTCAAACACCTTGTATATCCATTCAAAAACAGTCTTATGTGTGGATTTTATGGTACAACGTTGATTAGAGGCACACCAAAAAATGTAAATTTGCAGTTTCCAAGGACTCTTGAGCTATGGAAGTCACCAACGTTGGCGGCCATTTTCTCGCTAATTTTACTTCTGAAATCAAGCGACCTCCACCTCTTTCAATTGCAAATATCTCAGCGTCTATTTAAGACAGATGAGTGAGTTTTTTTCCATTGAAAGTAAGACAAATTAACAAGTTTTAGGATTATACCAATTACTCCATATATGCCTAAAAGTTGACCAGCGCCTGATTCCACCATGTTGTGACACATATAACAGAGGAGCACCGATGGACCGCCAGCCCCGCTATTCCTTTAATTTTAATTTCATGCTCGTTTCCACGATGGCAGTACATTCGAACCTGTGTAAGCCGGCCACAGATTGCCAAGGAGAAAAGTGGCCGTATAAGACAGGTGGCCGTCTAAAACAGGACTGATCAAGATGAAGAAAATAAATCATTCCTTTCTGAGGCTCCAACCGAAGGTAGCCGCATTGTTGTTGTTGTTGTTGTTGTTGTTGTTGTTGTTGTTGTTGTTGTTGTTGTTGTTGTTGTTGCTGTCGTTTTCTCTGGGTTTTTTTTCTTCTTTTTTTTCTTTTGTTGCTGCTTTTGTGCAAGGGTGACAATACAAAATAAAACGAAATGCGTCAGACAAGGAGGACTGAGTGCTATGGTAAAACAAAATGGGTCGCCACCACTCGGAGAACGAGCGACGCTTCTGTCATCTCATAAGTTCATGTTGACGTCCATTGTTACTTTGTTACAGACTGGGCTACAGTGACCACTCATCTCACATACGATTTGTGTATGCGTTCTGGGTGGGGCTTATGGGTTATAAGGGATCACACACTTACCTCACCAGCAGCCGAAAATTTGTTACCATTTGGTCAACAGTGGGAGGGGCCTACGCAACATGATCGGTTGGAGGGACTACCTAACTACAACGACAGGTAGTTATATTGTGACGGCTCGTCCACAACGCCAGGGGCCAATACATGATTTATGACAACACGTAATGGAGTCTCTAAGGTGGCCGTCTGAGACAGGTGTTATTACTTGGTGTGATAGGGGTTGTGCAAGGAGTTTAGAACTA